GGGCCCCGGGGCAGGCGCAGGGGGAGCCCCGGCTCGGCCCCTGGCTCTGAATCCAGGGTGGGCGAGGCCGGAGGGACCCCCGTGGCCTGCGCTTGGTGGAGGCGCTGGAAAGCAACTTCAACAGCCCCTTCTTCTCTTTCTGGAAAAAAAAATGCATTAGTTGGAGACCTGGTTCTGTTGTACAGCTTCCAGTTTCGATCTGATGTTTCCAAACCCCTTCTGTGGGTGCCTGGGCCCTCAGGGTCCAGCCCCAGGGTCGGGCGGTGCTACCCTGGCCTCCCCTCCCACCCCTCCTGCCCGCAGGTCTGCGCTGGGCCTGACAGTCCTGCTCATCACCACCCTCCATGGAGGCGGAATGTAAACAGAAGCCTCACCAATCCACAGCTCGGGATCGGTGACGGCAAAGCAGACACTTGGGGACATGACGGAGATTTCAGGTGATGGGGTTAATCTCCTGAAACACCTTACTCTAAAATAAACTCTTGCTGAATTAAACATGACCCTGCCCGCATCTGACCTACAGCCACGGGCATGACGCCTCCGCTGCCTCGTGGTGACGTGCTGGCCACGGTTAAGGCTAAACCTCTTTCCCATGACACCACCTCGATGAAATCCAACAAACCAGCAACGGCAGGCGTCCAGCCGGCTCTACTGTGCACATTGCTCCTCGGCTAAAAAGCCAAAAACGACTCCACAAAATTGGAGGAAAAAAAGGTTTCAGGATAACAGAAAACATTCATCTCTTTTTGCAAGCAAGCGTACAAATCAGAATTTCCCCAGCAGTCTCACTCCACAGAAGCCGTCTCCTGGCTCCGGCCTCCTTCGACACGTTCCCTTTGCTCTGCCAGGAGAACCAGGCCGAGGGCAAGCTCTGCTCCGAGCCCAGACCCCAGCATCAGTGTCCCTTCTGAGGCCCAAGCGTAGCTAACAATTATTTCACTTCACTAAGACAGCACCTACGTCATCAAGTCCTGTGAACGCAAACGCAGCCTGAAAACAAAGCACCTCAGAGAAATACTTCTTTAGAGCTCTCTCCAGGCAACCTGGAATTGTTCAGGTCCACTGACAGGGAAGCAGAACTGCGGGGGGTCCGCGAGGAGACAGAACACTGAGGACTTGCTGCTGGATACTGAGTGAGGTCAGACTCAGCAGGAAACCCTCGGGGAACCCACAACGACACGGTTCCATGAGAGACAGACAGGCAGAAAGAGGGAGGGCCCAAAGTAAGGATCTATCAGAGGACAAGCCTCCAGGGGCCACACCCCCGGCCCCAGGCACCCGGTGCTCCCCCAGCACCAGTGGCCCACAGGGCAGGGATGGGGGCCTGTGCTGAACCACTTCTGTTTGTCCCAGGCCGCAGACGAGCAAAGACAGTGTCCCGGCCCCCTCCCTGCCAGCCTGAGTGGGGTCCTCCTGCCTCTCTCATCAAAGCCTGGGTCAGCTCACCCCCAATCACTTAACTCCAGGGCCCGCCGTGCACACTGCAGTCAACAACCCCACAGACCTGGCCCAGGGCCCACGCCCACCCACGTCCGCACAGCATCCAGGCCCAGAGTGGAGCCGGGCACCCGAGGACGACGTGGGTGAGGCGGCAGAGGAGGGAGGGCAGGCAGCCAGCTGGGCCGGGGCTGCGGAAATAACAGAGGACACGCTGCCCCCCGTGCAGGGGTGACGCCTCCACCCCAGGGCCGGTGAGCGGGGTGGACACACCTGCAGCCCGGCTGCCCCGACTCTGAGGGAGTCTGGGTCTTGGGGCCGAAAAACAAGCTGGCAACAGTAATGTCCTGTCTCTGACGTCCACAGGGAGCCGTCGGCCACAGCACCCAGGGATCTCTGCTGAGACGTCAGGGATGACTCCCTGGGCCCCACAGATCGACTGAGGACACAAGTCTGTTATAAACTCAGTCTCAGGAAACCACCACTGAAGATGCTGCTTAAAAGCCCAGTTGTGGCTCAGGAAACAGAGAGCCGGGCGGTGCTCAGGCAC